TATATATTTTTTTTTGTTGTCTGATATACGAAAACCAATTACAGATATTAATACATCTAACACGAGTAGTGGTAATAATAAGCCTGTTATGCAAGGTCATTTCGAATAAACAAACAGTTTGACGGGCTCACAGTTGTCATCTAATTCTAACGCACATCTGTCATTATCCGCAAAGGTAGGCACTGCATCGTGTAGTGAACAAGGCGACGTATTGTTATCGACGGCATTAATTAAAGTTATAGGTAAGAATGGTTTTCCATATATTACTCGTGCTATTCTTGATAGTGGCAGTAACGCTTGTTTAATAACTGAAGAGTTATATCAAAGGCTGGGTTTGCCTGCTCAAAATGTAAATCGGTCGGTAGTCGGTATTAATAATGCTTCGACACATATCAAGAAGATTTGTAAGGTATCGATAAAATCATTGCATGATAACTTCTCTAGTAATCTTCATTGTTTTGTCCTACCATCAATAACCGAAAATGTACCTACTAGATATGTTAATTTGTCAAACTTAAAAATGCCATCTAATATTTCTCTGGCAGATCCTAATTTTCACTCACCTGCTCCCGTTGACATGCTTATTGGTGCTGATGTCTTTTAGGACTTAATAGGAACGCAGAGATTAAAATTAGGGGACGGTCAGCCGATTCTTTGTGAAACTAGCTTAGGATGGTTAGTATCAGGTCCGATTGATTATAGATATGTAAAGAAAGGGGTTAACTCTATTAAATGTAATTTTACAAGAATCTTTCAAGATGAGGCTAGTAAAGATTTAGATGAAGATATACAAAAACAGTTAGTACACTTCTGGCACCTCGTAGAGGTAAGCCCTGCGTCTCATTATTCAAACGAAGTAAAATTATGCGAAGAACACTTTTTAAAAAACACCACGCGACTGGCAAATGGTTTATTTTGCGTGAGGATACCCTTAAAACATAATCCTGACGTATTAGGTAATTCTTGGCCACGAGCTAAGAAGTATTTACTATCGCTAGAGCGCAGATTAGCAGGTCAGTCTCTGGTCTATGAAATGTATAATGAATTTATGTCAGAGTATGAAAGTCTGGGTCATATGGAGAAATGTGAGAATGATAATTTACCACGTAAGATGCATTTTATACCACATCACGGTGTGCTGCGAGAAAGTAGTACTACTTCTAAATTAAGAGTCGTATTCAATGCTAGCAGTCCGACTTCTTCTGGTGTTTCCTAGAATAATATACAGATGGTAGGTCCCATGGTACAGGATGACCTTTTGTCCATTCTTTTACGCTTTCGGCTACACAAATACGTTCTCACAGCTGATGTTGAGATAATATACCGGCAAATAGTCATTCATCCCGATGACCGCTATTCGCAACAAATTTTTTGGCGTGATAACCCTTCAAAACAGCTTCAAGCTGTGACTTACGGCACCTCTAGTGCTCCCTTTTTGGCAACTAGGTGCCTCCAACAATTAGGCTTAGAGTGTATTGATGACAAGGTTGCTCAAGTGATCATTCACGGTTTTTACGTTGATGACTTGCTAACGGGAGGGGATGATATTAACGAGGTTACAGATTTGCGCCGTAAAGTGACTTCCACACTTGCATCAGCTCATATGGTTATGCGAAAGTGGAAGTCGAATGAATCTCAACTGGTTAGTGAAAATTATATTTCTCCGGTTAATTTAAATATTGGTGACTTTGAACCGAGAAAAACTTTAGGCCTTGGTTGGCAATCACATACTGACCAACTTTGTTTCCCTATAGTAAAGCTATTATCAGGTAAAACAAATCGTGATAATGTTATCTGTGATTTCTCATATTTTTGATCCACTAGGACTTCTATCTCCCTGTGTAATTAAGATGAAGATGCTTCTTCATCAGTTGTTGCTGCTCAAGCTGTCGTGGAATGAGCAGTTGACACCAGAAATCAGCAAGATGTGGGCTGAGGTAATAGTCGATTTACCTAAATTAAATACTCTACGTATTCCACGTCGTGTTATTTGTGACTCGTCTAGTTTCTTTGAATTTCATATTTTCTCGGACGCTTCTGAACATGCATATGGCGCCTGTTTATATGTGCGTAGTGTTAATGATCAGGGTGAGGTTTTAATTCAATTATTGATGGCGAAAAGTCGTGTCGCGCCGCTTAAACCTATAACAATCCCAAGACTGGAACTTTGTGGTGCACTTGTTGGAGCTCGTCTTTACCAAAAGCTTGTAACATCGCTGAGACAAGAAGCTAAGCGCACTTTCTTTTGGACAGATTCGTCCATTGTTTTAGGATGGTTAAAGGTGTTACCTAGCAAGCTACAACCCTTTGTTAGAAATTTTCAACGTGGTAGAGCCATGCTGCAGCTATATTATGGTTGTAGCACGAATGGGTCGGCTCGACCGGGGAAGGACCACGCTCTCACAGAAAACCAGCGTAAAATAGCAGCTTAACGCTGCTGTGTTTCGTATGGTGAGTGTAGAGAACCGGAGACCCATTTTACTGGCAAAGAGGCATGCCATCTTAGTCCTCACGGGTGACAACGCATCTGCATCTTGAGTCTTTATTGAGGATAGATGTAGATGTCTATGGGTCACAGTAACCACTTACCATCAGGTGGACTGTGTGCTCGTTTGTCACCCGATCCTATAAAAAAAAAAAATAGGGTTGCTGAAATATTAGAGAAGACTAGAAATTGCGAGTGAAGGCATGTTCCAACAGAATGTAAACCGGCCGATCATATTTCTCGCGGTGTGAGTTGTAAGGATATTTCATCTATAACTAAGTGGTGGGCAGGACCTGAATTTTTAAAGAAAGAGATCTCTCACTGGCCTGCAAATTTCTTAAGTATTAATCACGAGTTGCCTGAGATTAAATCGTCAAATGTTATCGTCCACGGAATACTTCATTATAACAACAATGAAGATTTAGGCGGTAATAAATTAATTGAATTTAAACGCTTTTCTAAATATACTAGATTAAATTGGGCCGTTGCTTAGGGGCTGCGTATTATTAGTAATTGTAGAAAGCAATCCCTTCACGGTCCTCTCAGCAATCAAGAGTTACAAACCGCACTCAATCTTATTATAAGAATATCTCAGAGTGAATCATTTGAGGAGTACACCATGTTAATTACAAATAAAAGCTTACCCACTAAAAGTCCGTTGCAAAAATTTAATGTATTTTTCGATGATAATAATATAATGCGTGTTAAAATTCCGATAAGTGTTATGAGAAAAAACATCCCATACTTATACAGTCCACTCATTATTTTACCGAATTGCTCTTCAATTATGAGCACATAAGGTTAATGCGCACGGGACCACAGCTAATGTTGGCCACTATAAGAGAGATGTACTGGCCCATTAGAGGTCGTAATTTGGCCAGATCTTGTTATCGACAATGTGTAAGATGTAATAGAATGAAAGGAAAAACCATCCCCCCAATAATGGGCAACATACCACAGCAACGCATCCTTTCTGGTTTTCCATTTCAAAATATTGGACTAGACTATGCGGGACCAATTCAATATGTTTCTCGCTATGGCCATGGTTGTTAAATTGTAAAGGTGTATATAGCTATTTTTATTTGCTTCGCAATTTATTTGCTTCGAAAGTTCATTTTAAATTAGTGGGTGATTTAACTAGCAATACCTTCATATTAGCTTTGCACAGATTTATGTCAAGAAGAGGGAAACCTCTTAATATTTATTGGGATAATGGTACCTCCTTTGTAGGCGCATACAATGACATTTCAAAATTTATTAAGACGTTTTGTAATTCTTTATCTGAGGTAATGGCAAATGAAGGAATTAATTTCCACTTTATACCGGCTTATTCTCCTCATTTTGCTGGGCTTGCGGAGTCTGGTGCCAAATGCCATTGTAATTTGACTTACAAGGAACTAAATACCACATTAATACAAATTGAGGCTATACTTAACTCCAGACCACTCCACCTTTGTCAACGAATCCTGAAGACTTGTTACCACTAACGCCCGGTCATTTTGATAGGACGCCCCTTGACTTCCTTGCCGACACCAGACTATAAAGATCATTCCGTAAGCTCTTTAACCCGATTTCAACGAATAGAACAATTACGTCAACATTTTTGGGCTAGATGGAGCAAAGAATATATATCAGAGCTTCAATGCGGATGAAATGGCGTTCCTGTAAAGGCTCTTTGAAGTAAGATTCACTGGTACTCCTAAAAGAGGAGAATTCACCGCCATTAAAGTGGAAATTGGGTCGCATCGTCGCAGTCTATCCAGGCTCGGACGGCGTATCAAGGGCGGTGCATATTAAAACATCGACTGGTATAGTTCGCCGATCATTTAACAAAATTTGTCCGCTTCCTGAACCTGAAGAATCTGGTTGAAAGGTAGACTTTCAACGCCGGGGGGCATGTGGAAGCGCCTGTCAAATTATATTAGCAGTTTTCATGCCAATATTAGTTCGTAAGCTGTGTAGGTATGTTTAAAAATGTTGTACATTTCGTCCTTGTAAAAATTTAGAGATCAAGTAAAGGTTGATTGAGCAAATTACTGCATTTTATTATTAAAAAGAGATCATATTCCTATTCACTATATATGTATATATATATATATATATGTCCAGGCAGATGTTGTTCTGCCCTTTACGACGACCTTTCCTATGAAAAAATCCTTAAAAACGCAATAAAAAATATTGAAGGTCAATGAAATAATAAAATGAAATAATATTTTCAGGAGGTGATACTGTAGTCTGATCAAAACTCGGACGCAGTTACAGAGACTGAAAACGCTTTAGCGACACAGTCTAATATTAATGAGAAAGGTTTACCACAGACATAGCAAGAAGAATATACAACGTTAACCTCAGGAAATGGCATGCCTACACAAGAACCTGCAAGTAAAAAGAGGCAAAATAATGCGCAGAAAATGCAGCTACAGGTAGATTCCGCAGACATCATGCTTGCAGAATCCCTAGACTGCTAGCAAAAGTCTATTAACGACGTCACCGATCCATAAATTTCCTTTGAAAGACATATAGCTAATGAGCTAAGAAAGTATTGTTGTGTTATGTTTATAGCAGATTTAGGGAAATACACGCAGCAACAAATTAATAAAGGATATTAAACTACCGCTACGTTTTTACATGTTATTACGCCATAACCTTATGCTAATTTTCAATTCAAATTCTTGTAGGGACATTCGTATAAAATTATGTTCAGTCTAACATATGTTAAATCTTTAAGAAATTTATTTCCAAATTGGTTGCGACGCTCATAAATATTTCTAATCCAGAATCGTCTAGGTCTTTCCTTAAAACGTGACTGTTTCGTTTTTTTAAACAATAAGCAACTAGGAAATTAGCTACAGCTGCAATTACACAGCTGTCCGTTTCAGATGCTCAAAAACTTATGATGGCTCGGCATGCCTCTGAGTTCCGGACAAAACAACTGAGGTTGGTTCGCGAGCGAAGGCTCGCTAGCCATACACTGAGGGAACCCCGGGAGCCTGTGCGCTAGGTGGGTACGTAGCTATTCGCATTTATGTTTTGTAAGCCATTTGTTTGTTTTTGGAATTGTTATGACATTTTGGGACAAAAATGCAATGAATATTTTGAAAAGTACAAAGCGTCGAGTAGTACAAGGTAAAGCTTGGATCAGTGCCAAAATGCTAGCACTTGAACAACCGTAAATCAAACATTTTTATTTGAACAGCCAGCAAGCATAATTTTTAACTTTTGGCATAAATTTCTTTGATGCAGTGTTGAAAACTAGGTTAAAAGTACAGAAAAATCCTTCAAGCCATTTAAAACAAAACTTTAAAATAAATTACTCCTATTACTTACAAAATGAATAAAACTGTTTTCCCATTGGTATTCATCAAATAAATGTCAATACTACTATGTACGTGGTAGAGCCACGCTGAAGCTATATTATGGTTGTAGCACGAATAGGTCAGCTCCACCAGAAGGATCACGCTGTCACAGAATGCCAGCGCAAATAGCAGGTTAATGCTGCTGTACTTCGCAAGGTGAGTGTAGAGAACCGGAAACTCTTTTTACAACAGCGAATCTGCATTTTTATTCTTCCGGGCTTTTATAAAATAGTTATAAATACTATACTAGTTAGTTTCTTGCCACTTCTTCTCACAAAATTTCCCCGAAGTATCTTTACTTCGGGGAAATTTTGTCATGTCAAGGTAATGGCGTAGCTTTTTACTTACAAAAATGCCAATTTTTAAATAAAAATATTTGATTTTAACATTGAAACAAAATCACACGTTATACACGCAAAAAAAACGCCATTTACATTAAATAGAGACCCTCTCGGTAAGAGGGAGGAAGGAAGTGGCCACCGCGTTGCCCTATTCCATGTTAGCGGACTCGTTTATATATATCTTAACTCTTTCGGTGTGCTATGCACTACACATAGGTCATTGCTATTGTCTTACTATTGAGTATGAAAACCGGACAGTGAAAGTGATAATACATATATTTTTAATTTCTCGGACATATAGATCTTTTTACGATGTTGTTTGATTGATGATTTCACCACCGACAAATCAACACTTAAAAATGTAATTAACAAATTTATTAGTGATGTCGGGTTTGACGGCTCCGTGGCGCAGTGGCTTAGCAATGAGTTACTACGCTGGGGGCCGCGGGTTCGAATCCCGCACGGAACAAGTATTTGTATGGCCTACAAATAATTGTTCCGTGTCTGGATGTTTGTCCTTGTGTAATTTGTGTTTGTAAACTGCCTCCACGATACAGGAGAAAATCCTAGTGTAGGGGTAACGTTTTTAAAAAAAAAAAGAACTCGTGTTGCTCTACTGTGATATTCACAGTGATCGCTTAGCCCATGAGCTACCACGTCACATAACATAATACATACAGACAATAATTTATATTAGAACTGTGAAAATATTTTATCGCTTTACCAAAATTACCGCAACCTAGAAATCACGAAACATGACATTTTGGTAACCTCAGCCCTACCTTAGAAACTTATGTCTTTTACGAGAACTATCACAAAAAAATATCCAAGGTACTATGATCCATGTGAGCATTAGAAGCATTTTGTTACTACTGATAGTTACACAAGCGTATATTTATGATGTTAAAATACAAAGCAGCTGTTCCACAGAGTAGGCGAATCACAAGCTAGATTTCTAGGTTTTATGATTCTGTTTTGTAATCAAGTGAGTCTTAATTTTTTTTTGACTTTAATGTTATTTTTATTAGAATTAAACAAAATAAATAAACAATTTTATTACAATAAGTAGGTCAAAGTTTGTCTCAGGTTTAAACTAAAGCGAAATAAAATGTAAAGCATTGAATTTGACTGCAAATGACAAATTTTTCGAAGACTTTGCTGACACGGCTAAGACTTTGATCTTGAGAAGGACTCTTCTTTAATCATAGTTTAGGACCAACCCTAGACGATCAATACTCCATGTTTTGTAATATAAAGGAATACGTTTTAACCGAACGGCAAATATTTGATTCTTATAGATGATAAATATAGAATTCCTAATAATATACTCTCAATACAGAGTTATTAGACGGAGTGGCTTATCATAAATGGCAAAGGTTTACCTCCGGATTTTCTTTTGCCGTTTTTTATAGGAGCAAAAGAGTTTACGGCTCGTCTGATGGTAAGAGATCACCATTGCCCATGAACGTCTGCAACACCAGGGGAATTTTAGTTGCGTTGCTGGCCCCTTAAAAAGAAGTAGGCTCTTTTTATTTAAAGTTCTTACATCTCATCGATCCGGGAAAACCACAGGTGACGATAAATAATGCAGCACGGTCTTGCAAAGCAGACAATTCCGCAAAAATCGCACGGTAGTGGACCGCCAGCCGTCAAGATGATGAGGATAGAATTTCGAGATCTGTTCTTCCTCTGAACCCTCCTCGTATTATATGCGTTAGAATAATAATAACGTAGATAAAAAGGGAGAAAAATACTGACCCAGAAATACTATTGTTGTAATGACAACAATAATATTTCTGAGTCAGGATGTTTCCTATGTACAATTATATTAATATAAAACCCGCACTATGCAAAACTCATTCTAAATCTACAAATAGACTTTAAAAAACTATACAAAAATCCTTTGTAAATAAATAACTACAAAATCCTTATACGTTTATCCTTAAAATATATAAATAAGCTAAGGAATACTTGTGTAACCACGTAAAAATATAATCTAATTTTATTTCGTTGATCTATACCTATAGCTGGAACAAAAATTTGTGCCGCAGTTTATTTAAGATCGTAAAGAAATACGCAAATCTTGAAGAGATTCCCCTTTGACGTTTGCTGTATCTGATAACATTTCGGTAAGTAGGTATAATATTAGTAAAAAATATAAGGACATTATTTTGTGGTCGTTAGAAATTTTTTCATTCAAATAACTCAAATACTCAATTAAAATTTATTTAGTAAAATTAATTTATTTAGTTAGTCGCAAGAGATTGTAAAATTTCATTTTATTTTATTTCTGTTAATACTTAGTAATATTGATATACCTAACGAATAAAAAAAAAACTTAATTTAAGCATAGAACATAATGTCAGCATTGAACCTGTTAAACTGTTATATAATTTTTGAACAGTGAAAGTTCAAGGCTGAGTATTCTCCTTAAATTTCCCACCTGCGCCTCTGAAGTTGTTAATTGCATGTTTTCTCTGCTTAAAAGCTCTTTCAGAATAATAAAATAGGTCTTGCTCAGCTGTAAACCTTAATAACTTATTAATTTACCCTCTTTCTCCTTATACATTAACAATATACATTGCTTAAATTTTTTACTATTCTAAGAAAGCGATTAACTTCTTACTATGATGATGCTAAGTGGTCATGTTAGCCGAAGATGGCGAAGGACACTGACTTAAGTAACAAAATACTATTTACTCTAGTTTACAAGACTATAGGGATAGGCCACTTCTTCTTACTAGGGGTTCAAATCGGTACGATTGTAGCTGGGTTGCATTGGAGTGGCGCCAAACCAAAAAGCGTGTGCTGAATGTTTTGTGCCGCTGCAGTCTCGAATATTCTAAATTCTAAATCACTTTATCGTCATTGATATAACAATTTCGTGTGTTGGCTGCGAAAAGTATCTATCACCGCATTACGTCTCGTATGTCATAAGAGGTGACTACGGGAAATACCATTAAAATGTTATGTAACGGTAAATTCATCTCGTTTAAGCGGGACGTAAAACACTCTGACGACGGACAACAGCGTCAATGGTTCAAGGCACTGCGAAACACAATTCACCTGCCAAGGAAGATTGAGGATCGCATTGCCTTGAACCTCTGGTGATGTTAGACAAGTTCTTCCTAGAACGGAGAATGCCGATGTATGGTAAGTTATTTTTTTTATAGGATAGGGTGACAAACGAGCACACAGTCCACCTGATGGTAAGTGGTTGCTGTGGCCCATAGACATCTACATCTATCCTCGTTTGCCATTCAAAATGCAGATGCGATGTCACCTGTGAGGACTAAGATGGAATGCCTTCGTCTTAGTCCTCACGGTGGATAGAATTTCCAGTAGATAGGATCTCTGGTTCTCTGTGTTAAGCTGCTATTTTACGCTGGTATTCTATGAGAGCGTGGTCCTTCCCCGTTCGAGCCGACCCATTCGGGCTACAACTAAACTACTAATATAGCTTCAGCATAGCTCTACCACGTATAAATGTCATATTAATTTAAAGAAAAAACATATAAAAAGAAAAGATTTCCTAACACCAAGCCATGAAATTATATTCTATCTACATTCTTGTTTCAAATAAATTATTATTTAAAAATTTAATTAAGCGGGTTTCGTGTCACACAAGTTCATTTAATGCTGTGCTGTGGATCTATGCGAGAATTTTAACGCTTAATTTAACAATAGTTTTGGGCTGCTGCAGCGAAATTCTACATTAATGTGGTCACGGTAAATTTTAATAGCATAATGAAATGGTGATTAAAAAAAACAAATGAAGATTATATTGCGATGTTGTTACATGTCACAATAAAGACGAATATTCATTGGCATTTTAAGGATAATAAGTGATGTATCAATCCAGCGCAAAATTTTTGGGTCAGCGTAACCTCACAGTGAAGGATTTAAGCTGAT